TTGCAACTCGTAGAACTCAAACGGTATAAAGGAGGTAAGAACTTTGTTTCTTAAAAAAATCACTCAAATCTTCTTTTCAATATCTTACAAACAGTGAAATAAGCAAAAGATAACATGAAAGCAACTATAAAAACATAAAATTCAGCGCAGAATTTTACTCTACAGAACAACTTAATAAAAAAATCAATAAAAATGTATTATATATATAAAAAAATGACAATGAAATATGCCAATCTCTTAAAAACAGCGACATAAGAAACACAATGAAAAATTGTTGCCAAACCCATATTTCAAAAAGAATGAAACTATTCAAAATGATGCGATTTCGTCAAAAATCTATCAACAAAAAGAGACGGGAAAATGTTGCCAAAATCCTATTTTGAAAGATGTGAGAAGTGTACTCGGAAGCTTCATTTAAAAATCTTTTAAAAATAAATATATCATTTTTCCAAAATTCTTTTTGTAAAAGCAGTCGCAAGGATGAAAGTTAACATGTCAAAAATCAAAGCAAAATACTGTAAATTTTTTTAAAATCCCGTTGAAAAAGATGTTAGCTCCCTTTGTTAAATAAATTCGATTTAACGATTTATTGAAACACGAAATTTATTTTAAGTTCGTAAATAGCCAAGTGCCTACGTTCATGACGATGTGAAATGGAGTGTATAGAGTAAAATCTCGCTTTCCTATAGCCCCATTATGTTCAAATGACGCGACTTCATCACAAAACATAAAATAAAAAAATTCGAATTCGGAAAAATCACTTCGAGGTGCACTGGCTCTTGCTAAATGTACTATGTACCAACATTCGTAGCCGTGGTTATTAGCTTACGCCCAGCGTGAACGAAAGACACACACACAGACTCTTAATTTTATTATATGTAGAGATAACTGGACATATTTGATGACTTTTTTTATTTTTAAGGTCTCATTTTGTCACATACTTGCTCAGTCTAGAGGTTTAGTAAATAGTAAGTAGATTTTATGTCAAGCAGCATAGGTTAAAATGAGCATTATAATCGTAATCAGCATGATTCATAACAAAAGACTGGCTGTTGTTACTGCTCTTGTTTGCCTAGTGAGAGACCTGCTAATCAGAACAAACCTAAAAAGCCTGATCTAGACACAGTTAGTAAGTTTTGAAAGTTAGCTGAATTCTGTCTGACTTAGTTAGTGTTGTAGCTTCGTGTAGAGTTCCAGGGGTTGTAACTCAGTTAATAAACTTTAAGGTTCTATTAAGCCATTAAAGCACTAGAGGTGATAATTGTTTTGCATTATTCTAAGTTTCACTAGATGCAAAGAATAAGTTTTACATGAAATTTTATATTTTTGTATTTTATCTTGTGACCACTGTAAAAGTTAATGAAAGGCAATAACTTGCTTTAATATGCAAAGATAATTTTTAAGGGTAAGCACTAAGTTATAAGTAATTAAATTAGGTATTAGATAACCTTAGTCACACAGATTTACATGGACACTATGAAATTTATTTTTGAATAATATTTGTTAAAAAAACCCTATTAATATCACAATCTAATAAAATTTCACAGTTTAAAATACATGCAATTTATAACATTGATTTTAAAACAATACTAAGATAATTACACATTAAACATTTATGTTTTGTAGCAAAAAAAAAAAACTTAAAAAAAAATAATTATGCGTCTTTTTAATTTGAAGGACTGCCCAGACATTTTGGCTAATTTATATCAATTTCCTTCTCCTTAAGCATCTTTTCTAACAATCAGAAATTTGTCTCAATACACAAAACAATGTTTTCATTAGTTTCTGCCTGTTTTATCTCCTAACTGTCAACCTCTCCACGATGTACTACCTATGAGGGTTTACTTGATCTGGTAAAAGTTAAATAGTCCACCCCCCGACAGACGTGAAACAAATTATGGCTATTTCTGAAAGTAACTATAAATCAGACATTTAAATAAGCTTCTTTTTTAAAAAGAACTTAGAACATAAAGGCATGTTATTATGCTAACAAACTCAATTGCAGCTCGTGGCTGATGTAATTAAACAAGAGTCAAAGTCAAGTGGTCAATTTAACTTAAATTTAATCTGGTTCAATAACTCTATCATCATAAAAAAACTCAAATGTATCAGCAGTGGTAATGGAAATTATCAGAGCTAATAGGAACTAATACAAGGAAAGCAAGTGGAGGAAACACACTCTTGTCTTACACTCCAAAAACCTCAGTTTAAAAACTGTCTCAGTGATTTGCAGTCTGGTGAGGAAATGGAAATGGGAAATTATAGTAAAAGCTGAAATTGTTATTAACTGGGCAATTTACATAATAATAACATACATAATCTCTGGCGAATAATTTTCTTTCTTTTTACATATATAGTTCGTTTCTTCAACATGTTTCCTTTTCACTTTAGAATTTTTGGATTTAATGAAGATTTTCTGTTTATTCAAAAGACAAAATGCATTTAGAATGTATGGAAAAAGCTGCTAATTTTATTCCTTTAGTAATACGAACATTCAGAAGAAATATGAAATACATATGGTAAGGTCCGGTCACAGAGCTGGCGTGGCATAATTTTTAGAATTTAGTGACACACTGAGCAACAAAATCTATAAATGGCAAAACTTTGAATTGGAATTTAGAGCAGCATTTATTATGCACCGAGAATGCATCAGGTGGCAAAATGCCTAGCGCCAGCCCTTTGTATGACGCATTAAGACATATTAGATGAATCTTTTGAATTGTCAGTTTTCAATTTCTTTATTAATAAAAAAAATTCCTTTCTATACTTGCCTATCCATATGATAAGATTAGAAGCATTTATGATTCTTCCCATGCTTGTATCTAGTGAAAAGTAGAGAAAGAGAAAACTAATGCACATTCTGAGAATTCCTTGCTTATTTTTCAGATTCAAAACATTGTATAATATGTGGCCAAAATGGAACTTTTTAATATGACAGTGAAAAATCAAAATGCTTTATTTTAATGTCATTTCTTAAATATAATTCCAATACATTACCATTGTTTTAATGAATTTTATCAGTGTTAGAATGTTCTAAAAAAGTTGCTAAAAATTTCCCAGATTTCGGAATTAAAAAGTTCCATAGAAACCGATCTTAAAATCGCCAAAATGTTGATAAGTCGGCAAATTTAGAATCATTGGTGTATTGAGAATACAGCAAAGCACACGAGGGCTATTTGCCTAAGGGGGAATGCCTTCGTGGAGAACTTTCTAAGGGAAACTGGCTCATATACACGTTACACATGGGGAAAACCACGAAAACGCTCATGCAGCCAGCCCATTTGCGGGAATCGAACCTCGGACCGAACTACCAGTGTTCAGTGATTTTACCGCTCGGCCGCTGATGGGCAAATTTAGAATCATCTAATAAAAGAATTCACATCCCCAAAAGCGGAAAGTTGTTTGAGAGTTCTTTATTACAAAAAATAAATTATCTCGAAATGCTTATGTTTCACTTCTTGCTCAGAAACTCGAATATCCCACCAGTTATATTACAAATAGGAACAAATTATAACCCATAAACCCAGTCAAAAAATAACCATATTTGTCAATGAATTGCCAAAAATATTGCTGCAAAATGCTAATTCACACTCAAAATGGCAGTCGTAAAAACAGACAGAAATTTCAGATTACAGTCAAAAGTCGTTAATTCAGACACCCATAATTCGGAATGATCTATATTCCCGGCCTCAAAGCTAAAATCTTTCTGCGCATGCACCACGCTGATGCATGCACATAGGCGTTTACGCGTGCGTGCAAGACCTTTACGACTGCGCATATGCGTGTGCGCAAGCACAGAATACGTTTTCGCGTGCGCGTTTAATGTATAACGAACGGTATAAGCTAAAATTATCTAATTATCTATTTCAGTTAATGTTGTTCTTTAATTTTCGAATTGGATCCGGCTTATTACTTTTTGCAGACTGTAAGAGCAATTTTATAAAAGTAAGCTTGAACTTTCGATTATGTCAAATAGAATTTCCGATGCTGGAGCTCCCAAAGGATCTACAAAACGAAAGTATGTTTCAAAGTCCATCAAACAAAAAGTGGAATTGCTACAAAAAATGGATAAAGGCATATCCTTTGTTTATCTAACCGTTCCGAAATCTGTTTATCAATTTCACGCTGCTCTGCGCGGGGGAGGAGGGGGAACGTCGCGGCGCGCAATGAACTGGAAGTTGATCTGTCAGCACTATCATTATCTTCAGGTAGGTTTTTTATTTTTTATTCGGCTTATAATTCTTACTAAATGTAGTATTTCATCGATGTACTCCATCTTTGATTGATTAAATCAAATTCCTCGTCATATAAATATCACGAATACAAATCAATAGTTTCTGGTGCAATTTTCTAATTTCGGCTATGCGTAATGTATGCTTTACGCATGCGCGCGTTGTTTATAAAGTAAACAAATAAATATTAGATTTTTTTTTGTAAATTTTGATACCCTTTAGATCATAATTTGCTCATTATTTTATAAATTACGGTTTCATATTTTTAATTTTATAATTTCTGCATGCCATCTTACCAGATTTAAACTGATGATCTATAATCTGGAAAAATCGATAATATGGAATCGTCGAAGTCCCGACGAGTCCGGATTAAAGACTTTTGACTGTATTTAAATTAAGGACCTTCTGCCGATTTTGGCCGAAATTAAGGACTTTTAAGGACTATAAATCGATTCCAAAAAAACTTAAAGCTTTTTAAGGACCGTACGAACTCTGTTATTTGTGTGAATTCAGGTTTTAGCATTAACAAATATAAAAATGAAAGAAAGATTGAGACTTTTAAATGTAGATGACAAAAAAAGAAAGTGACATCTTTTTTACGACCGAATATAAACGAAATTATCAAAAATCATCAAGCTCAAATTTCACATTAAGAAATAATTAAAAATGTACCACAAAAAAAAAAAAGGTTGAGAATCACTGCTAAAGGCATTCATTCACAAAAAATATTTTCTCCTTTAATATTATAAATATCAATATTTTAAAACTTTGATTCACATGCTTATGTTGCATTTTACATTATGTAATGCATTAAATTTGTGGAATTTTATGGCTTCAAATAGGATTAAATTTTACTTTTAGATTAAAAAAATTCTAATCACAATACAAAAATAATTTTTACGTACATTATAAACATTGAATATAATACTACATTACAGCTCCAGTGCTTATAAATTAGAAGTTTAAAAAAATTTTTAAATCATTCTATATACAATTTACAAATATTTAACAATAATTTGAAATTCCTAAGATTTTTACAATTTACTTGTCAGCACTTCTAAATACTTAGTTATTCGCAATACATGTTTGATATGTAAATATTACAGCACTTATATATAAAAATATGTATTCAACATCTAGTTAAAAATATGCTGTCGTATCAAATGGAAGAAAATATTGATAACGATGTGCATTATTTCCAGATTAATATTCATCAAAATTACAAATATGGTCATTGGGTTACCAACATCTTTTTAAGGTACAAAGACAGAGATCATATTGAATTGATGTTCATTGTGTGAGATTTAAAAAAAAAAAAAATATTCAGGATAAATTTATGTAAATAAGATTAAACTTGGTCACGCACATTACAAAAATTTGGGATTTGAAAATGCTGTCATTTATCTATTTTAGGATCTAGAAAAATAAAATTTTATCAACTTAATTAAAAATATAACTTATTGAACATACTTTACAGGAAATTGCATTTTGGTTTTATAAATTGATTATTACATACTAAAAAAAATTTTAAGTGATTTGAATTATAATATAATTAAGTTAATATAAAAAGTCAAGCAACTCTGTCTGCTGCTATAGCTTCAATTAATTGCTCTGGAGGACAAATATAAGCTCTTTGCAAATGTGCTAAAACTACATCCGGTTTGGTTCGATGTAATTCAATGGCAAATACAAATGTTTTGTCACCCACTTCTGAAGCTGTCCGATTTACTTCTCTTACTTCATCCCACCTGAAAAGTAATTTTTGTGAGATTGTAGTCAGAATAAGATTAGAATCATACTTAAGCTTTTGTAACAATAAAAATATATTTTTATATGAAACAGAAATTACACCAAAATATTACGAGTATCGTAATCCTTATATAGTTTTACCAAAAGAAAGTTTATATAAAGGATATCCAGAAAAGTTTCTGATACATCCACAAAGTGCAGATTATGCTGATGAAAGGATAGTGCATATGTGTGAGACATTCCTGACATGGCAATTTTATCCACTTGTGGCATTTTTAAATGCTGGCATTGCTTCAGCAAATGAAATTGGCAGTTCTTATTCCAATCCCTGCAAGCTGCAAGATTTGATCTATGATCAAATTTTCGAATGTCTAAAGTGTGTGATCAAAATTCTTTATCAGCTTTCTTTGGTGCATGAACCGGACTCAAGAGCAGTCTGTTTTCAGATGGCCAATAAAATGTGCATGGTAAATACAGTGGACAGCTACTTGTTATTATGAATGATAAAGTTGAGAAACAGTCATGGTCCATTTTAGAGTATCATTACTTCTCATTTCTAGAATTCTGCTTATGTTATTTTTCTCTTTGTTGCATGAAATTATCACAAAGTACCATGAGTGTGTGCTGAAAGCAAAAGCAGTGTACTCAGCATCTATACTGCTCCAGTGGTATCATGATGTCAATTTCTGAACCGAATCAACATATGCAATAAAACATGGGTCACATACTTTATACCAGAAGGCAAGCAGCAATCAATGCACTGATGTCATAATAGTTCTCTAACAAAGATAAAATGCTAGCAGACTCTGTTGCTACAAAAAGTGATGTGCAGACTGTTCTGCATATCAAGTTCCGAATTAGAAGTGACACCTTAAACATTAGCCATTACTGTGAAACACCATGAAAATTGCAATTAACTACTCAAAAAATGTAAGGAAACTATGGTTTCAAAATCTTGTATGAAATCAATGGCTTCAAAATATAAAAAAACCAAGATACTCATGCAAAAAAAGAAATTGTCCAAACTTATAAGGCAGTAAGTATCACCATTCGTCTTCAGTGATCCAACAGCCCATGATGAGCCTTGGCCTTCTTTAGAATTTCATTCTAAGCTGTACTACTCTTGGTCTCTCTCCAGACAGTGTAGCCATTTGAGTTCCAGTCTTCCTTTCGAATGCCTGTTGGTGTGTATGTGAATATTTTTTTACTAGTTCTATTTTCGAGCATTCTGATTAGGTGAGCTGTAGATTTCTGCACTGGTTTTTCTCCAAATGCCATCTATTTAGATACCTCCAACAATTTTTCTCAAAAATCTTTCTCTCAAAGACTGCAAATATTTCTTTATTCTTTTCCCTTAATGTCCAGGTTCAAACTCCATATGTCAAAATAGGTCTAATTAAGCATTTGTGAATGTAACAACTGCCATACCAAAGGTCCCGGGTTCAAATCTCAGAGAAGGAATGGATGTAAGTTGTCTGTCCCTTCAGAGGAGGCAACAGTGGCCCACCTACAGGCTCTTTGCACATTTTTAGACGATTTTGCTTTGCTATTAAAAAAAAAAGGCATCAGCTTGGAAATTTTTTAACTGCAACTATATTTTTTAAAGTATAAAGTATCGTCTGATACTTGACAGTCTTGTTTTATGCAAAATGGCACTTTGAAAGAAGCAGTGGATGGAAGGCTATATTTATGTTCTTTCTAAAGAAAATTATTCATATCTAGTTATTAAAAAACATTGTGGAAGCCATATTTTCGATATCTAAAGCTATGATAGGTAATGTTGTCAACAACAAAGGAAAAAATATCAAATTTTAGCTTCAAGTGGAAAAATTATTCCAAATACCAAAGAAAGGATCCAAGGAAAAATTGGAATATTTCAAATGTTGCAATAGTAAAATCTTTAATGTTAAAAGAAAAATCTGCCAAATCAAAGGACATTTGCAAAATCAATGCTCAGAGTCAATTGTAAACAAAATGATTAATACTGATTTTAATCTTACAAAGACGAAAAAACATAATGTACATCATCTTTCTCCAGGACATATCACCGAGCACAGAACACACTGCAAAATTCCTTATGAGAAGCATTTATCCAGACAAAGATAGGAAAATGTTGTCACAATAGACCACTCTTGGATGTACTTAAATGACTGCAATAAAAAGAAATCTATTCCGTTTCATCAAAGAGGAAAAAAAATCTTAAAACATGGTTTAAGGCATCTAAATGAAATTTGAATAAAGTTAAAATTGAACAAGAAATTGGTATCACGGCCATACTCTTCACTCATATTGCTGCTAAATCTCTTGACATATCACCCATGGATTTTTACGCTTTTGGAATTTTAAAAAATGGATTGTCCAAACATTGGCCTACAATTGTCCTTGAAAAAATTATTGTAATGAAATTTTTGGCAATACATTTGTCTATTTTATTGATCAAATATTCAAGATCACATGTTAATGTGAGAAGAACCATTTCAAATATGAAATCCTGGTACATTAATAACTAGTGTAACTGCCAGAATTTTGAATGCAGACATGCATGCATCATGTCGTACAGGTTCCGGATATAAATTTGTGGAATGGAGTTCCATGCCTTTTGCACTTAGTCAATACTGGAATGGTTAATGCTGGTTGTGGATGACGCTGGAGTTGTCATCCTATGAAGTTCCATACGTGCTCAACTGGAAGAGATTTGGTGATCTAGCAGGCCAACGCAACATGTTGACACTCTGTAGAGCATGTTGGGTTATAAAAGCGGTATGAGGGTAAGCATTATTAGAAAACACCCTCTTGAATAATGTTCATGAATGACAGCAGAACAGGTTGAATCACCAAATTGATGTACAAATTTGCAGTCAAGGTGCATGGGATAACCACGAGAGTTCTGCTGTCAAACAAGTATGAAATTGCTCCCCAGACCATAACTCCCGCTGTAACCAGTGTGTCCAGGTTGCAGGTGCTCACCTGGCCTCCTTCTAACCAGCACATGACTATCATTGGCATCACATCAGAATTGGCTATCAGAAAACACAGAATCTGTTGTGTTTTCTGATGGTTGTCAGAAAACACAACAGATCTCCACTCCATCCTCCAATGAGCTCTAACTTGATACCACTGACTTCACAAACCGCAGTGGTTTGGAGTCGATGGAATGCATGCTACAGAGTGTCTGGCTCAGAGCTGTCCTTCAAGTAAGCGATTTTTAACAGTTCATTATGTCACTGTGGTGCCAACTGCAGTTGAATTTCTACTGCAGGTGCAGTATGATGCACCACAGCCATACACCAAACACAGCAATATTAACTCTCAATAGTGCCACGTGGCCACCCGGAACCTGGTCTTCTTGAGCCAGTATCTTTCCTTGACCACTGCTACTAACTATCATATACAGTGGATACATTCCTGCTAAGACTATCTGAAATATCGCAGAAAAAAAATCCAGCTTCTCATAATTCTATTACACAACCTCATTCAAACTCACTCAGCTGTGCACAATGGCTTCTTCATCTTCTTAAGGGCATTCTCGCCTAACATCATCTCACTACCTCAAATCTCAACAATGAATAACGGTTACAAACTTTACAGCACATGTTTAAGACAAACCTGATTTGCATGTTCATACTGGCATCACTAGCACTACACGTATGCACCTAGCATGAAATTTGAATAGGCATCATCTTTCAGATGTATAAACACAGCAATCAAATTTTCTGTATCTAGCATCTTCTTCATGTTGAGATTTTTTTTTCATTATTGTATTATCTGTATGAACATCTAATCTGTTATAGAGAATATTAGAAAACAGTTTATAAAATACATAGAGTTAACTAACACCTCAATAATTTGAGCATTCCAAAATATTTCCCTTTTTATGAACAAGATAAATGGCACTAAACGTATTATGATTCAGTATCCCCAAATTCTGTCCTTGTGCACTTCAGGATAAAGCTTTTTAGAAAAATTTACAAAATATTTAATGATATGGCACATAATAGACAAAAACAGCAATCTTTCTAAATTTTGTTGAGAAACAGCAAATATATATATATATGTAAGATAAAATTATATGAATCAGAACTATAATATAATTATAAATATTAATTCTTCCTCTCTATTCTAAAATCGTAATAACTTCTCTGCATTGCGTCATTTCTAGATTACTCTATGGAACGCGCAGCTCTGATGACGTAATAATTGCGAACTGAAACTGCCTTTGTAAACCAAAACTTTTCTCTTCGCTGTGCTTCCATCTTTCATAACTACGCACTTCAGCTTTTGCTCTCTACTGTGCTAAGATGTAATTTTCGCTGGCTTGCTTTCTATCTCAACAATATCAAAAATGTAAATCTTCTGTGGAAAGGCACGACTAGAGTGCCAAGTGATTGTGGCCACAAATATCAGTTGCAAATAAAGATGGAATTAAAATCGCCTCCACTGCCAAGTTTTATTTACGAAGTCAACACATTAGCTTATGACGCAATCAGAATACTTCCTCTTCAATATGGGTCTAATCGCGCATCTACAGTGTTCCATCTTTTCCTTGTGCTTTTATTATAACATATATATATATATATATTTCAGAGCCTGAAAAAACATTTGATTCCTTCATTAAACATCATCATCAAAATGAAAACTGTTGTTAACTATTTGAACAACCAGAAAACTGATTTTTCATCTAGATCAAATAATATCCTCAGTGTATCCTCAGCTAGAGGTATCAAAATGTTTTGGAATGTAAGCAAAAGTTAGTACTCCAGTGAAAATAAGGAGCCTGATAACTTCATTCAGTTCAACCTTTGATGATTAAAAACGGTTTCTAAAAAAACAACATAAGCATGCACAAGAAGAGCCAAAGCAAATCTTTGTAAGATAGGCGCATTGAAAAAGAAATTATTCAATAATATTCAAGTGCAAGTTATAATTTTATATGAATTATAATATTAATTTTAAGAAATTTCAAATTGGTTGCATTCTTATCAAGGATGCTCTTTATTTAACTTCCAATATTAATCTAAGATTTGCATAAATATTATTTATATCCAAATAAAAATTATATAAGTTATTAATTCAAAAGAATAAAGACAAAGAAAGTTCAACTTACATATATCGTGGTGGTTCACAAAGGAATGATCCTACATTTCTAAAAGCTAAAGCTTGAAAATCTCCATTCAATGCTTCAATTAAAGTTGGATGAGGTTTAGAACTCGGTTCTGGGACCATTATGCACTGAAGTAATGCCTGATAATGCAAGCTAGCTATGGTTATAACGTAATAACCATCAGCACAAACTGGGAAATCTGAAATATAAAATTTTGTATTAAAGAGCTTAATATTTAATAATCCTGAAATGTAAATATATATTTTAAGTTGGCATACACAAACACATATATCAGAAAGTCAGCATTATAAAACATGGCTGGTAGATATTTTAGAATATTCAATTACTTTTTTTTTTTTTTTTTAATCTCAAGCTGAAAATCTCCATGAATACTTTTTTCCATACTGATGAAATGTATATTAAATTCTGGCCTTAAATGCATTGCAACTCATAATTCTAAAAAATGTTTCTGGAGTTATAAACTTCCAACTAACCAGGCTGTGTCCTAAAAAGAGTTTAGTTTTTTAAATGAATGGAATGATTTAAAAATGAAGGAATGATTTTAAAAAAAATACTGTGAACCATCAGCAGAAAGCAAAACTGCCTATGAGAAATACAAAAAAAAGGAATGAAAAATGTATGGCTAACAGCAGTGAAAGCAGATGATAGCATGGTCATTTGTAAGTCAATTTCTTGATTTTTAATGCTTATTCTTCAGTTACTTACAATTTTTTATAGCAATTTAATTTATATAACCATATGAACTCATCCTCCAAATAAAATTGTTTGAATTATTACTATTTGGAGTACAAATACAGAGGTTCTTTGCATATTTTTAGATGAATTTGCATTGCTGCCAAAACAAAATCTGTTTATAATTCTTTTTTAACTGCAACTATATTTTTAAAAGTAAAATTATCGCCTGACAGTTTTGTTTTCATGCAAAATGTCAGTTTTAAAGAAGCAACAGAAGGAAAGCTATGCTTGTGTTCTTTTGGAAGGAAATTATTCATATGTAGTTATTAAAAAACATTATGAAAGCCATGGTTTTTCTAAGTTTTCATGAAGTTTTTCTAAGAAATTTATATTTGTTGCTGGTTTCTCATACACTGATAAATTAAAAATAAAGAGTGTGGAGAAAAATGTAAAGATCAACTCCGTGTATTATCAAAAACATATTTTATACCCAATTTTCAAATATTAAATACCTTCTTTTTATACACAGTATGATCAATCAGTAGAACTGCGTCAAGACAAAGCAAGCAGTGGCACGTCAAAATCTACTATTAGTTTCCTAGGCAAAATGGAAGTAAAAATGGTATCATGGCTATACCCTTCAATCATATCCCTACTAAATCTCCTGATCTATCACCAATATATTTTTGTGCTTTTGTACTTTTAAAATGTGGATTGTCCAAACGTCCACCTACGACCTCCTCAGACTTCGGACAGCTGTTCGAGAGCAATGGAATAAAATACTTCTTCCGACACTACAAAAGGCTTTATTATCTTGAAAATTATGGTGTATAAATATAATGAAGAATAAGAATTATCAAACAGAGCATTTAAAACATACAAATTTTGGTAAAATATGTCTATAATTACAATGAAAATTGTCTAAAAAATGTGTGAACAGCCTCTGTACGTCTCTGCCATTTTTCGTCAAAAATCGGATCATTCATTGTGAAAGAATGGTACATTATGTTTTACTCAATTTTTTTACCTTCATATGATGTGAAGAGCTACTCAGATAGGCCATGTGTCATCAATTGAAACAGGTAGTCTGGTGAATGTTTGGTGAACACAGCAGGAGGGGGCAGGGAACTTTTCATTTGAGTGTTTCTGAATAGATTTAGCTTTATCATGCAGCGAAATAATTTTGTCATTTCTGGAATAATAGTAGGTCAGTCTTATCAATTGTGTTCAGTAGAGAGTCAGTAATGGTTGCATTCAATTTGAGAGACTCATAATACATAACACCAAATTAATCCCACTATATATACATAACATGACTTTTTCTATGAATATTCGGATTGGCTGTCGATGCTGAAGCATGGCCAGGTGGTCCCTGTGATTTTTTTTTTCTTTAGGTAGTTGATTCATATTTAATCACCAGTGACTATATAATGCAAAAAACCCTTTCATTTATGCCTGGCAAGCAGCATTTCATGTGCAAAAAATTGGTATTTAAAATTTCTTGGCTTTAGTTCATATGGAAGCCAATTTCCTTGCTTGTAAATCATTCTCAATGATTTTAAATGATATGATATTGCTTGCTGAGTCACTACTAATGTAAGTGCAAGTTCTACTTGCATTTGGCATGAATCTTCATCCAATAATGCTAATTCCGCACCTTCATATACTTTCATACTTTCACAGGGTTCATAGCCACATTTTAGTTAAAAAAATAAGCACTTATAAGCACTTTTCAAGCACATTTTAAGAAAAAAAAATAAGCACCTGTCTAATTACGTTATACACAACTGCATAACCTTAAAAATTAGACATGTAATTTAAAATATGAGAAATGCAGTATTTATTAAGAGAGAATAAGCATTACCTCAACCATGGAAAATAATTACTTTTTTTTTAATTTTAAATAACAGTTCAATTTAGAGAACTAGTTCACAATGAGATAAAAAAAAACTATGCAGAACTAAACTATATTACAAGATTTAATGATGAAATTTCAGTTCAAAATAGAGAAAATAAATAATAATAAGGAATATTTATTGTATTCGCTTGGAACCTAATAATAAATACAATTTATTTTTCCACTCATATTGATATTTAAATAATTTAAATCTAAATTCTGGACATTTTCTAAATTTTCATTGTATATCAGTTTTCCCTTAACAGATATTGCAAGCAAAGTAATTTAAGTAAAAATGAGGAACATTTCTGAAATCAGAAGACAGAAATTTGCTTCTTGAGTCATCCTTTAAAAGCTTAACTAACCCGCATACTTAGAAATTGGTGAATATTGGGACAGACGAGCATAACTTGAAAAAGAGGAGCGGAAGGGAGTAGACTGTAGCCGCTCTTTAGATTTTTCCGCTAAATAATAAATGGTTTTAGCATTTTGATATGTGCATCATATAAAAATAAACCAACGGAACTAAAAAATATTCTGCTTAGCAAGCACAGTAAAACTCTTTTAAGTGTTCATAAACAAATCTCGGACTGAACATCAAAATGAATTATCTCTACAAAATATCACAAACATTGCGCAATACATGCGCCGTAATTCTTCCCTACGTGATATTACGCAATCGGAATCAACAACTGCAGGTATTGGGAAAATAAAGAACTAAATAACTGGGGTGTTTTTCATTCTAATTTTCAACAAACGACGTTAAATTTCTGGAATAGAATCATTCTTCGCTTGGGTTGGTAGACCGCAGAACTTTTAGTCCTATTCAATCCAGATTGGAAAGTGACAAAAAAAAAAAAAAAAAAAAAAAAAAAAAGGTCCGTTGCTTGTTTTGCAGCGAACTGTAACAGTTTCAATATTCGAGATTTTGAGGAGAAAGGGGAGAACCTCCCAATCTTCGTACTGTATTATGTATTTGCCAAAAAAAATGAAATTATTTTGACTATTCGATTGCTTTCCCTTTATTTAAGCGATTCCGAATATTATTCCTTAGAAAGCTAATCTGTGTTAAAACACAACCATTTTTGGAAGTTTACTATACTTCAACAGTTACTGCAACTATGTTATTATAAACATTCATACATATGCTCATAATATAAGCATAATGATCATAATAAACACGAATATGAACTGACCAAGTGGAACAAGAATGCAAATTATTAAGATCTTGATAGAAATTCAAACGTGTGTAGTATTTGGGTGGGAGGAAAAGAATGCCGAATGTACCGGAATTTTCTACTGCTTTCGCAATTCTTTGACCAATAGAACGACGGGCACCTGTCTGTACTCTTCGTGCACACCAAAGGTTATGTTAATGCAGAGAAAGGGGGGAAAGCTATTTCCGAGAGTATGATTCACCATCTGACATTCCATATTAGGAAGAAAAGTTGTTTATTTAGTTTCGGCTTTGGTACGGGGGAAAATAGCGCTTTCATTAAAAAAAAAAAAGCACTAAAAGCAAAAAAATAAGCACTAAAAACAAAAAAAACAAAAAAATAAGGGCTTTAAAGAAAAAGTAAGGACCTATAAGGGCCTTTATATTTTATTTTCAAATATAAGGACTTATAAGCACTTATAAGGACCGCTACGAACCCTGTTTCACTACCTTCTCTGTTTCAACGTCAAATTCACCGTTCTTGAACTTTCAAAACCACTCACAACAATTTCTCTGACTTAAAAGCAGCCACATCAATATGCTTCTACAAGCATTCAATGCTCCTCAGCTGTTCATTTCTTCAAATTAAAGAAGTAAATCAAAATATTCCACAAATAGCACTTGTTCAGCTCAAAACTCAACATTTTTGTGCAAAAAAAAATATATATGATGTTAATATAAAATCATTAATATTTCAAGGCTATGTTGTAAGCAGATGTCCAACCTTACGATATGGAGTTTTACATCAGACAATTTTAACCACAAATTACTGGTGGCACCATTTTTTGTCAAAAGGCAGAGACTTATTTGTACTCCCAATATTTTTCTGTTAGTTATAAGGTTATGTTTCCTTTTCGCTATCCACCTTTTTTAACTGCTGTCGGATTAATCATGATTTTAAGTTAACCATCAACATTGCACATGATATTCATTACTCTGATAAATCAGAAGTTGATTATATATTAAAACACTGAATTTAAAAAAAAAACTGAGTAAATTTTCTTTATTTTATAAGAAATTTGATTTTGTACTTGATGCTTATTATTATGAATACATTCATTTTTATTAGTTTCTGTGTTTTATAATTTATAAATATTAAATCCTTTACAATTCAAATAATTGTCAATCCTTTATAATTTATAGAATAGTCAGCTCTTGTAATGTATACAAAATTCCTTTATGGTAGATTTTTTTACGAAAATTAGTTGTATACTGTAAAATTATTGATTTTCTATACCTTGAAAATAATTTAATAAACAAACCATTAATAAATGAATGATTAATAACATATTAAGAGCTTTTCAAATGGCTGTTTCTTTTAGAAATTTTTCTTTCCTTGATATTTTTTTTTAATATGATTTTTATCTCACCATAATGAGGAACCATTTGGAATTTTGTTAAAAATACTTTAGACAGGTATAGGTAATAAAAGAAATATAAATAATATAGAGATATTTACAAATGTACACTATATTTTTACACAATAAATGTTTGTTTTCCTTCCACTTGAAATACAAAAGTTTATAGGAAATTTAAAAGTATAATATTAAATAGGGTAAAATGTTATCCTCATACTGTGGTCCTGAAAATTTTCCAGTTTTCATTAATGTTTGTAAATTTAATTAAAAATCGTATACCTGACTTCAATAAAATTAGTAACATGGTTGTACATAAAGCGAAATACACATACTTAACACTTCCTTCTCCGAAGAAGCACTCCAGTCAGTTGCATTTGCTGGTGGAAACCGCCTGTAAGCTTTAAAGTGATATTCATTTCCTGAGTCATATTTTGATGGAAACAAAAGTTGTTCATTCTGAGTTGGATTTAGAGGCAGTATATCACCCAGTTTATACCTTGCTTTAATATTAACAAACATAGTTCTCCTTGATACTATGTTTGAAGAATATGACCAGCCATATGTAGACTGTGGTGAATCTGTAGTCTGAAGATCCACATAATCTACCTGAATAATAAAACCTCCAAGAGTCACACAACGACGTTCCCGATGGATCAAATTTTCTAATGCTACTTTCCAATATGCCCCAGGTATCATCTAAATATATTTGTAAAAAGAATGTATTAAAATAAATTAATATTATTATAATAAATATAGAATAGTTATATGAACTGAAATGAAAATGACCCTAAATGTTCTAAATAGCATAGAATAGCTGGAAATATTTTAAGTATCAACATCATCACTAAAAAGAAAATTATTCAAATATACTAAATAACTTCGAATAGTTAGAAAATTTTTAATATCAACTTGGAAGTTGAATCATTGCAAAGATAATGATTCAAAACATTCTATATAACTCAGAATGGTTTGAAAATTTTCAGTATCAATTTAGATGTTAAATCACTAAAAAGAAAGTAATTCTAAATAATATAGAATGATAATTTAGAACAGAAAGGGGGAAGAGTAACAACTTAAAGCTTCAATTATTTTTACAACAATCTCAGGGTAAAAATAATAATAATAATAATACATACTTTCTGGCTAAAATTATAACATAACTGTTTCAACTTAAGTAATTTTACTATCTTTCAGGGAACTAAAAGCTGCATGAAAAATGTGAACTTCTGGAATCAGAAAACATGAAATGCAGTTCTTAAACTAATATATATTTAAGAAATCAAAAGATTCTAATTTTCTAAAACAATATAAAGAAATAAAGCTGTTACTTTTAAAAGATTAGGCTTATTCAGAATTTAAATAATATTAGGGGAAATGTAAATAATACAGAATTTGGACAAGAAATCTGATGAAGTTTTAATTTGCTCAAATTTTAAGAAAAGCTAAAGAAGTCTTGTCAAATATATTAATAAATTTACAAGATACATGATTTGTTTATGAAACATTTTAAAAAAAGGAAAATTTGGTAGAGGGAAGGTCTTTTTACTGTAAAGAATGATAAAATTAAAATTTTGTGTTGCTTTAAAAAAAGCAATAAAGGGAAAATTTATTATTAATTTCGATGAAGGAAAAACTGTGTTGTATTTAACACATTTTCTAAATAATTTATTTACAAAATGTGAAAAGTCATTGAGAGTAGAATATATGTTTTCAATGCCTTCCCTCCAATGCTGTTAAAAGTCCTTAAATAGTTGACAATAGAATACATTACACAATAAAACAGTTAAAATACGGATTTAATATCCCACTTAGTAAAGATCATAGTCAAGTAAAAATATTTTTTATGCATACTACAATTTTAGTAATATAGCTCTTTTGCTTCTTCTTTTGTTAATAACTTATTCTTCTTTTTAAGTTAAAATTAAGCTTGTTTTAATTGTTAATAAATTTACATATTTTTTATCTTTTACAAATTTTGTAAAACATAATAATCAACAGAGCAAAATAATATTCATTCAATAAAGAATAATTTTAATATATAAATTTAATATAACTTTATGTTAGTAAAATAATAAAATTGTGTTCAGAATAATTGCAGGATATTAAACAATTTTATTGCTAAAATTTTCAAATACTAAGTAATAAGCATGGCTAGGCCATATTTATAGATATAATGATCCATTTTCTACTGAAAAGGTAATCTTCTCAAAAATAGAGGGAAAGCAATGAAAAGGAAGACTATGCACTAGATGGCTGGATATAGTGGGGAAAACAATTTGAAATTGATGGAGATAAAATGATGGGAAGCTGTAGTACCAGACAGGATCAGATGGAGAAAACTTAAAGAGGCAGACTTGGCCTATAGCAGGGTGTAGAACTCAAGAAGTTATAAGCAACATATGATATGAAAGGAAAATTCTCTAAAGTTTCCTTATGAATATTATATGTAACTTTACTTGATTTATATTAACAATGCTATATGATAATATGAATCTCTTAATACTTGCTTCAGCATATTGTTACTGTCCCCATAACAGTAATAATTTTTTTTAGCTCATGTAGCCTACAAGCGCCCACCAGCGGTCGAGCAGTAAAATCGCTGAACACTGGTAGTTCGGTCCGAGGTTCAACTCTCGCGAACGGGCTGGCTGCATGGGCGTTTTTCGTGGTTTTCCCCATGTGTAACATTTACACGAGCCAGTTTCCCTTAGAAAGTCCTCCACGAAGGCATCCCTCCCCTTAGGCAGATAGCACTCGAGGCTTTGCCATAATCACACACACACACACACACACACACACATGCAGCCTACACTCAAAGATGATATAAACATGATATTTTTAACATTGCTCCAATTAAGAGAGTTACATGGCATAAAATTCACTAACTCACTATGGAACACTAATCCATCCTGCCATTATACCCATGTGAAACAATTGTAGTCATCCTGTCTTTTCAAGCATGTATAACAATTGTGGTACAACAAATGAATGGTAGATCTACTCTTTACAACCAAGCACAGCAATTATACCCCCGTGGCCGAGACTGCCTAGGTACAGATCCTAGTTAGTAGCTTTGCAGAATTCTCTATGTCAACCCACCCCCAGGGGGGACGCTCCTTAGGGAATGACTTCATTCTTTTTGTTCTTAGTTCTATTGCTTGTAACCTCTGTTTATAAGATTTTAGTTCTTTGTAATTTTTTTGCCTAGCCATTGGAAATAAAAAAAAAAAAAATATCAGTCATTTTAAACATCCATCTTTCAAAGCAAAGTTTATCATCAATAACAGTTTTAAAGGAGGATAACTGAACAAAACATTTTCTAATATTTTTTAGTCTAAGAGTTAATAAATTAGCATTTGTAAAAGTTTCAACATTATTCTATTTATGGGAAGAAATCTATATGAATTCTTCATTTCTTCATCAAGAAGGAATAATACATTTTACTTCTTTGTATTCTATTGGCTGCACATATGCAAGTTTATTTTAATTTGAAATTTAAAATACATTTCTTACCTTCCCTGCTAAACTCTCTCCAAAACTAGCCTTGTATGCATCTAAAGTTTTATAGCCACGAAGAAACATTGCTATTCCTCCTGCTCGCAAGACATTTGACTGAAGGAAATCAACTTCATTCTGATTGTCACGGATAATACTAGCGACAGCTGTAACTGCAGGATAACGCACGTATGGGCTATCTTGTCTGTGTGTAGTAAATATCTTAAAACAGAAAAAACAAAGATTATATGTATAGATAGAGATACAAAATGTATAAAAACATCACAGAAATCTATTTAGAAAGCATGCTCATTTTTATATTTTTATTATATCTTATTGAACAGATATATATCAAAAATTTATTATTAGGAAAACGTTTATGGAAAATGTTTCAGCTTTCATAATTGAACATGTCATTCTCCCTGCATCAAAGCATCAGCTATATTAGCCATGCACCTTCTTTTAGCCCAGTAAAATTAGCATTAGAATAATGACAATTATAAATGTGACATATGAACGGTACACCTTGATAAATGGTTAAAATCAATAATTCTCCAGATATACATGAAGGAAAGTCAAATCAATTTCGTGCATGTGATTTTGGACAAAAATCATGTCCAATAAAAAATCTAAAGTTAGTGTAAAAACAGCATAAGGAAGGCACAATAGTAAGAGAGAAGAACAAGACAATCTGTATCCAATTTGCAGAAAATTTAACATGTTGGACTTCTGTTAAATTTTCTGCATTTTTCTGCATTTCTGCAATAGAAAAATTTCTGCACAAACTTTAATATTCTGTACCTGAGAATAAGTTTGGTTAAAAGTACAGCTGATTATTTCTGCATCCACCTTTGGCAAGGAAATCAGCTTCCTATTATACAGGAACATTACAGTGGCTGGTAATCCATTGAAAAGTGATTTTTTCAACTAGAAGATATGCAGTTGATGAGAGTTTCACCTTTTCCATTAGGGAGTAGTCTTTCAATATATGAGAGACGAGAGTCTTTTTAAAGATTGCATTTAAATTTAATAGATATTCAAAAGTGTGTTTAATGGCCTCAATTTCTGCATCGAAATATATTGCTTTAATCCCACAGCATTGTTTTTAACATTCTTGCATTCAAAGTGTTTCTCACTAGAACGTCCAGCAACAGGAAACCTATCGTTTCCAGCTAACAGATTAATCTAAATAGGAAAACAATAATTGAGTAAATAGTGTGAATGGTTTCTAAAGAATAGGCATCAATTGATACATAAAATGATGAAAAAGAAATAGTATGTCAAGAAGTATTAAAACCAATATCAGGGAAATTGCTACACCACAAAAATACAGCAAATGTTTAGCAAAAATTATTTTATTTTATAATAATTTCAGGTAAAAGGATAGTGAAATGGATTTAAACTTGGAGAGCCATTTCAAATTCTGTGGGCAAAGACAAAAGCCATTCCTTTTAAAATTATATGATTGATGGAGAACTGTTTGGTTTCATTGGATGTCTGATAAATGGCTAGAGTCAATGTCAACTCATTAACTTCAAGAAACACAACAAACTATATTACAGATGTCATGATGTATTACATTCTTCACTGTAGTTTCAAGAAAAAAAAGAAAAATAGGACCTATTACTGGATAACATGTTACAGCACTCTGTATTCTGATTATCTGAAAGTGCGAAGCCATTTCATGTACACACGTAGACTTAACCAAATCCTACTATTTTTAACTCTTTGCATAGCTGCTAAGGTGAAACTGTACTTTGTCACTGAAGAAAACCAACTAAGCTTAAGAATTCCATCATTATTACAAAGTATTTCTCTTTAGCTTGCCCCTTCCATTAATGCACCCAGTAAACATGATATGCACAAAGGTGTAACTTCTTCATGGCTTTTAGAACACTTCTATACAAAATTGCTGATTGTACTAATAATCTTGTCAGATTTTTTCCACAACCTCTGCTTCATTCTTTCAACTTCCACCAGTTTAGGCTCAGTCAAAATGGCTGGTCTCCCATATCTCCTTCTTCCTGTACTTGAACCACATCCCCGAAAATGGGCGATTAATCTTGCTATCCTCAAATAGTCAGGCCCTGCCGCATCTAGATATATCTGACAAAACTCATCTACAACATGTCATATGAATGACTAATGAAATACAGTTCAATAATGAAATTTTTTGCCCCTGGGCAACTGTCATGTTTGCCTAGCAATAAAAATAGATCTGTTATGCAGATATCCTATGAATACTTGACAAAGGTGAAATGTATAATAAACAAGTGTAATTTACAAGGAAAGGCTCACAAGGAAGAAGGATTTTTCTAGCAACAAAAAATTTTTTAGTTAAAAATGTCACCAGTAAAGGATAATGACCACCGAGAGATTCAACAGAATTATGTAAATTAATCTTCAATAAAAGTCTGTGATATGCCATGATTTCTCATATGCTTTCAGAATTTTATCATTACCTGAGCGAGCATTGTTGGTGAAGTTGCTCTGTTTGATGGAGAATAAGCAACTGTTGCATTGTGAAAGTTTCACGGCAAAAGGACGAAAGGCGAAGAATGGTCCCATATCCTGTACTGAAATATTGAAGCTTGTCAAATGGATCGGCCACGAAGTGGAAGACCCTCTTTGGCAAAGGGCCAAATTACAGAAGTGGAAACCACTATGAATGATATAGCTGGAAGTATGTGCCTCATTAATTTGACGTATCTTCCACAGGATATTGCATCTCTATCTCTACAAATTGCAGCTACTCCACGAGTTACAGCTGGGAGACACAGCTATGAAGGAATCATTCACCGAGTAGGCTATGACAAGAATTGAAAACGACCCTCAGTGGTTGTTAAACATTTTTTGGACAAAGGAAGTGCACTTCACACTGCATGTCAACACCAGAACACTCATATTATGGGCAATGTTGAATCCTTGTGAATACATGACAAAGTCACTGCATCCAGCCAAGTTGACAGTCTGGAGTGGCTCCACCTCATCTTTCATTGTCAGAGCATTTTTCTTTTAACATCCGCATCCCATATCTGGCTGGAAATTGTGCGCAGTAACGCTGAGTGTTATCACTCTTTTGCATGACAAAGTCGTGCCCGCATTAAATCAAAGAGGTGTATTATTTGTAATAAATAACTAATTTTATGCAGAATGGCATACAGTCACATTATGTCAGTATAGTTAAAACTATTCTTATTGAGTACCTTTGAAAGACAGATTGATCAGTCAAGGTTGCAAGAAGGCATGGCCTTCACGATCACCCAACCTCACTCCAGCTGACTTCTGATTGTGGGGCTATTTGAAATCATTTGTGTACCATTCATCTGCTCCAGCATTGGCCAAACTCAAAGACTATCTGCCATGAGGTTTTTGCAATTCATTCTGATATGTTGCATTCAACAGTAACAGCTGTTGTAAGTCACTTTAATTGTCGTACAATTTTCTGGAGTAGTAGAAAAATTGTTATTGCAAGAATAAATGAATGGAGCATAGTGTAGTTCTGTTCACTATGTTTTGGGTTGTCAGTGCTTTCTACTAGCAACATTTTTAACTAAAATTTTCTTTACTGCTGAAAAAATCTGACTTCCCTGCAAGCCCTTTTTTTGCAAACTGCACTTCTTTATGATAAATTTTACTTTTTTTTATGAATTTTTGAAGTTTTAATGAGCTTTTGGCTCACCATGTAGATGATATAACTATTACAAATGCAATTCAATTTATAATCATTTTATTTTATTTTAAGACATTTACTTGATAGATGCAACCTTTTGATTCTCCTCAATTTTACTTCAGATCATTACATTTTAAGGTTTATCTGGTACTCTGTAGTCAGTTAATACTTTTTTAAATATAACTTTTAATCAGGATTAGTATTTTTAAAATAGTTTTTGTGAAGCAATGTTATTAAACTCACCTCAGTGTAATGTGTAGCTTTCAAATATGTTCGAACTTGGTAACATGAAAGGAGTTCATTTGGTAAATGGCAAACTTTCATGTGAGTAGCAACAATTACTTGTCCAGGATGTAAGTCATCAACACAAAACCTCTGAAAGTGTATCACATTTAAAAACACATGCACATTTATTAATGAAAAATTTTTGCAAAAACGTTAGCTATCTTTACAGTTCATAGGCTGTTCAAATAATAATCAATAAATAGAAACAAGAAATTTTACGAAGTCCCCCCCCAAAAAAAAAACTACATGGCCAATATTTGCACTTTTATGCTGGTGGAATAATAATTAAATATGCCTAAATCCACAAGTGTTCAAATGTGAATGCATTAGCTCTCTATTATTAAGTGTATATTTGAAAATATTCCTTAAACTTGATAGTTCTATTGAATATCGAAACACGAAGTGTGGATAATCATAAAACACCATATTTAAAAATACGTTTGAAGAATTTTTATTTTTCACTCAAAGAAACTCACATAAAGGTCAGTCACTTTTTTTAATCAGCTTTTAGTTAGCTCACTCGAGTTAAAACAAAAGCTGGTCACTGAAAATCATATCAGGCTATTTCTTGGTAAGCTACTGAGCTCACATTTTGCATATATATTTTCTGTGGTTGACAATATAATATGCTAAAGCAACCTCTTCAAAAGCTTATTTAGATGTTTTTTTAATTTATTGTTGAAAAAATTTTTCAAACACACCAACGTTTAACAAACTAACTAAAAATCTTAAAATTTTACTATTCACACATTCAGAAAAAGTGACAAAATCTTTTGCATAAAATTTTTAATGCAACTTCTGATTTTTTATCAAATATTTGAAAAATAACATAACCACCTTGGCATAAATTTGCAGTTTTTTACAGATAAAAAATGGGGTGCAAATTGGTGTTTTTCGTGCCTGTTTTTTAGATTCCCAAACTATCAATATTTATCGTAAATCAGTAAATATTATCAACACACAAAAAGACAACATACTTTAGCAATTTAAAATACAAACTTTAGTTGTTAAATAAGGATTATGTGATTTAAAAAAAAAAAAATAAAACACATTCTTCTTTAAATCTCCCTGTAATTTTTTTGCACTATTCTTCTCTATAAGTACACAGTGATCTGTTTTCGCTTAAAAAATCAGAGAATTTCAGAGGCTCGGCTTTGTGCAACTTTGGAAACAGTGGCTATGGAGGAAACACATTATTCTCATTGTCTTCTTTAGAAAATTTTCACCAAAATTCTGTATTCTTACAGAAATTTTACCACGGTTACTTCCATTGCTGGAAAATTCCAGAAGCGCGTATTTTAAAACTAAGTTTAATGAAAAAAATATCAAGATTTGTTTATAAAAAATGTTGGAAAATGGAATACAGTGAAAAAGAACACATAATGAAAAAGACAGCATTGCTTGACTGAAGGACTGTTGTGAGGATGGTTCCCAGAAGAATGGTTATCTTCACAATTGCCAGATTTTGACATATTCTAAAAATTTGGTGCCTCCAACTAAAGTAGTTGCATTAATAGGTAATTTTTTTTAATATACTGCATACGAATTAAGCAGAAGGAAAGTAAGTTTTCAATTTTTGCTTTTTCATTTTCGGCATGGGATTTCCTGAAGTTATGATCTCATTTAGATGTCACATTATTTCTCTAATATTAATTTTATTAATTAATTTACCGCATATTCCAGTATATAATGTGCACCAGTGTATAACGCACACCTACAATTTTCAGTTTTTACCCTAGTTTGCTATATAATATGCACCCTTTTCTTTATGAAGAAACATGAAAGATACTTGTGTGATGCTCTTACCTTTCGAAGTCATTCATACCAAGATTTTTCCGCAGCGTTTGAACAATGGTATACTGAATTGACATGTGATAATGGAAAAAATATATATGTGGGGGGTGGGGGAATGCTCTATCGAGTAAATGATTCTGCAGAGAAGGTGGGTTGTATTCAGTGCAGGTGTGCACAAAAATGTTTTTCTAGAGTTTCCAGAAAAAGATCATTTGATCTTAGGTAACCGGAAATACAGAATTATTTTGTCTAATCACAGATCAAGATTTCTATTAAAGAACCAAACTTTTTACACTCTTCCATGCTTCCATAGAAGCGAGTGCGATATGCAGGCCTCATATACAAGCTTTCTAATTTCATACTTCCCACCAGTTTTATCAAACTATCAAATTAATAAATATTAATTTTATCAAATTAATGTTCTTCTGTCTTAACAGAAGAACTTTTCGAGTGTGCTACAATGATTCACTCCCTTCAAAGAAGATTATTTACAGTGGCATGCCACAGAATTTGGTCCTCGGCCCAAAAGTATTTAATATTTTCATTAATGAGCTTCCACATCCCTTCAACTCCAGCTTCCTCAAGTATGTTGATGATACTGCCCTCTTAACAAATTCCAGAAATCCATAAATCGCAATCCGCAACTTACAGCTTCCCGTTAACACAATCGCCAGGTGGCATAAACAATGAAAAATTTAACTAAATGTATAAAAGATGTGTGCAAGTTAACCCAGAAATCAAAATTGAAAATGCAGTTATTCCAGTCACCAATTTCTACAACAATTTAGGAGTTTATGTAGACACAACACTCTCATTCAAAGATCACATCACATACAACATGAATAAAGTGAATGTAGCATTTATGGCACTTTATACTTTAATAGGATGGAAATCAAAACTTCACATCAAAGTAAAGAAAATGATATATGTAACACTCACTCATCAGGCCTATTCTACTCTACGCAGTACAGCAGCAAACAAAACTGAGACTTAAGATAGACATACTACAAAACAAAATATTATGTGTAATAGTAAATGCACTGTGGTAAGTAATGAACTCACAAATTCATTCGGATCTAAACATTCAGCCCATTCATTACCAAATTCTGATCTCAGCACACAACGTTTTCAAAAATATGAAAAATTTGCCTCAAAAATTCACAAAAGAAATCATAAAGTAGAATACAATAGCAAGTGTAGTTAACAACCACGTTCAATCCACAATAATGCATTATGGTGATACTGTAAATATGTAAATAGTTATCTTCTTGTTACTTTTATTTGTATAAGTAACATATACGTCAAAACAGGTTCAAAGACTAACTTTCCCTGACAAAACATGGTAGACTTTGCAATATTTTTCATACTTTATTTTAATTGTGTTTCAAGTGCGTTTAGTGCCTCACCCAACAAAGCAAATTATGGACTTTACCTGGCCAAGCAAGTTAACTGGACTTTGCCATGATTCAAGTGCATTTTTAGTATAATATTCAATGTTTTGAAACTTACCTACCATGAGATCAAACCACAGCTAATTGTTAACTACCACAGCAGACTCTTGGAATTGGAAAACAAAATCACATGACTTAGTGCTCTCATAATTTTTTTTTACAAATGAACTCATTACTAAGACTTTGAAAGTAAGTAATTATTATCTCTAGAATGCAAATGTGACTTCCCTTTACTTTGTCGCTGCTTGATATTTCCCTACCTGTGATGGTGGCACCTTTATCTAAAAACGTAAAGTGAATGGCTGTAGGGCAAAAGTTAAAAATTATTAGTTAAAACTTTATGAAGTTGTAAACCAGCTGCAAAGTGATGATCTACAATGGAATGCAAAGTCCTTTTGCTTTGCTAGCTCCATGCTAGGATACTGTCATTTACCTCTCTCTATATCCTCCATGGTATGTCTTAAGATGCCTATTTTCAAAGAAAGTTATGAAAATTGGTTGTAGCCTGTGATCGTGATGATGTGTGAAGCAGTTTATATGTCTAAAGAATTGTGTTATTCAGTAACAAATTATGTTAAGTCTACAGCTATGTTTTTCTACAAGAGTCATCAGGCAATCTATGAAATAAACCATCTCCAATTCCACTACACTACTTCTCTACACATTTTACATATATAAATTTACTACTCATTTTACATATATAATTTTTGTTTTATACATATAAATAATTTTAAGATAACAATTAGATTAAGAATATGAACAAATGTTTTGTAAAAAATGGTTATTAGGTTTAGGCTTTATAATGTTTTGTATTATTATTTTTATTTTTTATGAATATAATTAAATTTTCACAAACAAAATTGCATATTATATTTACACAAAAGTCCAGTTTTAATGAATGTAATGGCTCTGCTTGTTGTACTGATGCAATTTCTTTTCTTTATTATTATCTAGCATAAAACTCTTTAATTTACTTTTTAAATAACCTCATTGAAATGCATTTAACCTGTTTCTAGTTTTCCATTCTAGTTCTGCATTATCCATTTTTTTTTAAATTGTACTTTCTTGTTTTCTTGCATTTTACATTTTTTAAATTGCTCTTATTACCTACACAGATTACGTACTTTTAAAAAATGTTATTGATTTTTAAAATACATAAAATAATTTTAATGTGTTTCCCGTTATATTTATTTTTCTGATGCATTCCTTACTACATGATACAGCTTTATATCAATAAAAAAATATCAGTTTTGTTAATTTCTCCCCCCCCCAATCAATGATATCTTGATGACAACGATCAACTACAGATACCTATTCGGATCTCGACACCTTGATTGATTCGGATCTCAACCCCTCTTAAATCCCCTTTCAAATTTAATTGATCCAGTGGGAACCCCTGATCTAAATTATAATAGAGTAATTGAATAATAAAGGAGTATTGTAACCTTTTATGTTGACATTATGCTTGGCGATGATTACAGATTTATGCTAAATATGCTAAAAAATGTTGAAGAGGAAAAATTTACCAAAAATTTCTTTCCATATGCTAAAAATAGAAATTTTGACGATACTCATAGACCCAACGATTACATTGAGGGCTATTTGAATTAAGAATAACTGATTTGTTATTCACATAAACCCAGAGCAGTGCCAGGGCTCATATAATCGCATCGAGTCGGAGAATTTAGGACCCACTGAGACTGCATCAGGCGATAAGATATATGTGGTAAGGCTTAAGTATATGTGGGAATTTATTTATTCAGAACTTTGATAAGCCTTAAGCACGTGCAAGAAATAGACATAAGTATAATAAATAACTAATCTAATACAATTCAGGCTTAATTGTTTAAGTGTGCAATAGAAGTAAGATAAAATTTAACGGAACAACTTGTTGTTAGTTGCCAAACTCACGATGTATAGCCAAATATGTATGGTGAAGAATAGCTAAATTTGATGATGATAGCTGCTAATTTTAAATGTTTTCAGAAAACAAAGGTGAGATTTTTTCCAATTAACGGATTTTGTAAAGAAATGTGGAGAAGCAGTAATAAATAAAGATGATATAAAAGAAGTTTTTCATTGTGATGACAATGCTTCTCAATCATCAATCAATTAATGAATAGCAAAATCTGTAGTAGCTCTAAATCCAGAAAATATCACTACCAATAGTGAAGAAAGTGACAGAAAAGTTACCGAAAATGAGAAAATTTCGACTGACAAGTTAGTCGGAATTCTCGAAACAGCAGTTACAATGTAACTAAATAAGAGATTACGTCTGTCTACAGAATTAAAGAGAAAGTATTAGCACAAAAAAACAGAGCAACTTAAACAACTTACATTGAAAGAAATGTGTAATAAGGTAAAGAAATAAATATTAAGCGTTTTTTTTTTTTTTTTTTTTTTTTTTTTTTTGGCGTAAATTTTGATACCTTATAAATCATAAATACTTCATTATTTCATAAATCACGATTTCATATTTTTAATTTTATAATTTCTGCATGCTATCTTACTAGATTTAAACTGATAATCTAATATAAGGAAAAATCCCAAATCTGGAATCACTGAAGTCCCGACGAGTCTGGATTTTGGACTTTGTTCTGTATACTTATCCTATATGAATTAACATAAAAATATATTTATTATATCCTTACGAACTTAATTAAATGTAGTTTCCCAAAATGAATTTATTATTTAATAACCAAACTCACTTCATATGCACTCATAAGAAAAGTAAGAAATAATGATAAAAACATTAGATAATATGTTAACTGTCATTTAAACTTTGTATTTTTTGCTCAGACAATAAGCCAATACACAAATATTAAATCAGTCATTTTATTCTTTAAAAAATACTTCTTTGTTTCAAAAAAATTCAAACCTATTGTATAACACGTATTCACTTATTATTACTAATATTAAATATAACTTACAAGACCATTGTCATAAATCATAGCCATGAATGGTAAATGGCTAGAGCTGTCAATTATTTCCACAAAACACCGAGCATGCAATTTTCCATCTAAAGGGGAAAAAAGCAATAAGCATTCTGAAAACAAATATATTAAGAAGATAATATTATATAACAAATATTAAAAAGCATTAAAGTAATAAATTATGTTTGCATTTAATAAATATGTAATACATATATAATTTTTAAACTTTTCTTTTCTGCCATGCTCTACTTAGATTACTTTCTTTAATATTTATTTCAGTGCATATACATTTAAAAGCATTTTTATTTAATTGTTATACTTAAAGCTGCAATATTTTGCTTTTCAAACTTTTGCTTAATAATGTGTTTTCTGGGTACAAAATATAACAATTTTATCAGCATTATTAAATTAATTTTTTAAACTTTTATTGGAATTATCTTCTATTTCTGCTTATCTGCATTATATTCAAAATTAGGTTATAATTTTGGTTTCACATTAACTGGACCTGTACCTTGATGAAAAAGATACAGTTAGAAATATTTTTAGTTTTCAAAATTTTGCTCACAAATTTAACACTTTCAGCTTCTTATTTTAAGAAATTAATTATTTGTCTACTGAGATCTATTGCCTTGCCCCCCCCCCTTGTGCATAACATTTTTTAGATTTCCAGCCTTCTTATATACTTTTAGTATAAATTCTTAAACTATCTGATGACAATCCATTACCTCGATTGACTACTCATATGTACACAATATGTTCACTAAAGATGGTCAATGGGCTTCATTACTTTAAATATGGTCATAGATATACATTTGCAATTTTTTTATGAAATATTTTATGAAATTTCACAATATTTTATGAAAAATTTTAGCACTGTGGGCTGGGTGAGTCTGAGGCCTAACTTTTTATAATCTTATTTTTTTAAGTGTGTTAAAGAAAACAGAATAGAGGCGAATCTATACACAATAAGTTATCTGAATTGATTAGGAAATAATTCAAATGAAGTCATCAAATATCAGAAATGAATAGGAATACTGACACCATTGTTAAAAAATATTTCATACTCACATTTATACACAAACCTATGAAAAAGGCTGATGTGTGTTACTAAACCAACTATATCTATAGTAGATTCATCAGCTGCATACCTGGGGGGGGGAAATTAAAGTCCTCTGATTATTTCATATAAAAAATAAATTTTAGACTAGGCAAAAAAAAAAAACATTAGTTTCCCTAGATTTTGAATTGATGGAGTTAAGTGAATATTAATCCTGAAGGAGATGACCAGTATTTGGCAACCCTCAAAATCAATTTGTTCAAAATCTAAATCAAATTAAAGTTGCTTTTTTGCTTAGTTGTGAACTTTATATTGGCATGTTTCCTTTCTCTTTGACTAAAAAAAAAATTTTTTTAATCAAATTTCTGTAGACATAAAAAATATAAATAAAAAAACAGAGCACATTTATTTAAAAACTAAATAGTGAACCAAAAATATGCACAAAAAACAGCTACAGAATACCACAGAATATTAAACTATAACAATTAAAAAACATGACAGCCTATATAAAAAGTATAAAGACCGACTACCATTCAAATAAAGACAAAACTAAAATGAAAAATTAATAGTTTTTATTATCATGTACCTTATGAAAAATAATTCATTTTCATTTAACTTTCAGCTAACTTTTACAATTGACTGTTTTCTTTCACTACAAGATAAAATTTAGATAATCATTTTCACATAAAAAAGGCATGCCAAGCTTACCTACTTCAGAGATGACATATCAGTTATTATCAATTCTAAGTTTTATGGCTACTTTAACCAAAAATTTTATTTAATAATTCACATAGATACAATACTGTCATATATAAAATAATTCTTTTACAACAGCTATATGACTAAGAGTACAGGTTAAGAAATGTGTGATGAGAAAATTAATGACAACTTTCGAAACATATGGAAATTCATGAATTTTTAAATTTTTTAGCTTTCATTTTTACTTCCTTCCCCAAATCACAGGTTATTAAAGCCATAAATCATCAACATTTCTTTTTAATATTGAGAACAATTTTTATAAATTAGAATATTCTGCAGACCACCTTACTTTTGTCCCCTCCTAAATCAATTTTTTTAGCATACGTTACTAAGAGTTCACTTAAAATTTTTAAAATACAATCAATTAAAATTCATTATATTTTATATTGGTATTAAATTAATAGAAAAGAGTTTGGATAACTTTCACAGAGGTTGCTTACACATCTTTAGAATGATTTTGATAAATGATTAAAAAAAGCAAATGACTTGGAAAAAAATTCTAGCAACAGCTTATCAGCTTATTATTTGAATTGAAAAATATCGTCCACTACTTTTAAATTTATTCTCCTTTCGAAATGACAGGCCCACGAGCAGGCAAGTAGCAAAGTTGCTGAACACTGGTAGTTCAGTCCAGAATTTTAATTCCAGCAAACAGGCTAGCTGCATAAGTATTTTTGGGGTTTACCATACGTGTAACGTGTATACGAGCTAATTTCCCTTAGAAAGTGCTCCACAAAGGCATCCCTCCCGCTCAGACAGACAATCTTTGAGTGCTTTGCTTTAACAAAATAAACCAAACTTTTGAAATACTGCATGTAAACAAGTTGTGGAATGAAGGATATGTTTTTGCACTTTGCGAAGAGAAATATTACTATTCCATAATTCAGAAACATTGTCAAATGCATGGTATTAAAATTTCTAAGTGCAAAAATAAGCAACATTATTGATCATAAAAAGAAAAAAACCTGCCAATAATTAATTCTACATGAAATCATAGAAAATACTACATGAAATCATAGAAATCATGATGCAGACTTGTAGTCCAGAAAAAAGATCGAACATTTAAAAAAATACTCTTTGGTACTTTGTTTTTATTTGAGTTAAGGAGGAAAGCAGAGAAGTTAAAGGTGAAAACAGACAGAAACAAAATGAATTATAATCCAATAAAGGTATGTACTGTTTCTAGTGTTTCTAAAGCTAAACCATTAGAAATGAGGAAAACATTTGCTGATATAAAAATCAACTGCAGAGTCTTTACACACATATGTAGCAATAATAAATAAAAAACGAAACCAAGGTTCACAACTTAAATAGCTAAAAGATCTAATGTTCATCAACTTTTGCAAAGGCATGTGGCTTAACGCAGAATAATTTGTAAATCCCATATGAAAACTATTTAGCAGAAGATTAAAGGAAATACATTGTTACCCTTGATGAAGCATTGGTTTATATAAATGACTGCAATAAACAAAAAAAAGCTACGAAAGGAAAGTTTCAATAAGGGATTTATGAATTGTTACAGGATTCTCTTACAATAGAAAATTAAAAATAAGGAGTTAGAAAAAATGATAAAAGCAACTTAACATATTATCAAAAGAAAGTTTTATATCTAATATTTACAAAATAAATTCCATTTCTTTATCCCAATGACTTTCAAAGAATGAAACCTCATCAAGACAAAGCAACAAGTTATACTTCGTAATGTACCCTTGCCTTCCTTTAAAGAAGAAAAAAAAAAAAAAAAAAAAAACGCCGATACAGGTATTGCACAGACACCTTTCCAACGTATTTCTTCAAAGTCCCTTAATGGACCTATGAACTATATTGGCTTTGGTCCCTTAAAAAGAGCTCTTTCTAAATGCAAACCCACCATGATTGATGGACTCTGGAAAGAAGAAGAACAATAGAAATAAATACTCCTGGAAATTTTACGAAAAACCCTTCTATCATAGAAATCATGATGCAGACTTGTAGTCCAGAAAAAAGATCGAACATTTAAAAAAATACTCTTTGGTACTTTGTTTTTATTTGAGTTAAGGAGGAAAGCAGAGGAGTTAAAGGTGAAAACAGACAGAAACAAACTGAATTATAATTTTTAAAGCATCATTATACAGTTTGCTATTTTCTATTTCTACTGATATCAAGGTCCAGAAATTAACCAGATCCTCTTCTTCAAATATCATTTTAAGTCAGCTGTTATTCAAAGTTCGGTTAACTTTGTCTTAATGACTGTCTGTTATTTTCAATATGGCCCTTTTTTGGAGGGGGCCTGTTTTGGAAACCTGGGAGGACCACTTGCGGCTTGCAGACTATATATTGAAAAACACTACCATAGATGATGATCTACAGATAAAAAAGCATGACTATACATACAGATGTACACATATTAAAGTAAGTAATGGTAGTGATACTTACTGCAGAGAGGCTCTATTTCCAAATGAGAATTCTATAGCAGGTAAGTTTACAATTTGCATACTAAATGAATCATTGTCTGGAGGCATTACTTGAACTTTAGCATAATCTCCTACAACAATTTCCATATCCAAAATAGGAAGATTACCAGCAGAGCCTCTTAGTCTTGGCAAATTTCGATTTTGAGGCTTAGTAATATTATAATCACTGATTAACAATACAGTTCCAGGAACCGCTCTGAAAATAAAAGGCAAACACTTGAAACTTTAATAAAAAAATCAATGACTATCATATATTTGGAACTATAAAGTTTAACGGAATTTTAACAGTTTAACCCCAACACCCTTAATTGGTTAATGTATATTAAAATTTAAAACTGATTAAAAATTTTATAAAACACTGTTTATATGACATGTAAATAATTATTAAATGCATAATTTATATTCACTTTAATATTAATAGCAGGTTTTTTTTAACTTTCTAAAATGTTAAGTACATACAGTGGAACCTCAAATCATGAATGCCTAACTTTATGAGCAGTTTGGTTCATGAACAAATTATCTGAACAAAAAATACTTCCAATGATGAACAATGTCATGAGTTTTAAACACTCATGACAGAATATGATTTTCAAAGGTAGTTTAAAGTAACCTAAACCATATAATTAACACTCAGGGCTTTCTGGAAAAATCATTTTAATGTTTTCCATTTCTTAACTCTCATTAACAAAGCTGGCAGCTAATGACTTAGAAGCTACAATTCTGCCCTAAAAGAAATTATGCCAGATTGAGTTCCAAGCAGAAATTCTAAGCACTTTGGCACTTAGGACTTTTTTTGTTATCTATGATGCTGCATCTCTAAACAAAACCATGGACTGGACATTAGCAGTGAAGGCCTAAAGGAGTTACTAGAGGACTATAAAAATGAGCTCAATACGAAAGAATTACAATATCTTTAGAAGCAGTAACAAAAGATGAATTTGGAAGAACTGTCTTCAAAAGAAGAGAAGAAACTCTAGTTCTCTGATGCTGGAAATTTGAGTAGAATGGGGAAGATGCAAAATTTTCATATAATGATATCACCTTGATAAAGCAGCAGCAAGATACAGTATAAGCACTTTAAATGATAATGCCGGTGTCTCACCTAGAAACATTTTAAAACACAGGCAACAACAAATCACACTGGATAAATTTTGAGTGAGCAGAATCTCTGTAAGTCTAAAGCACAGTTGAATAGCACTCAAGAGAAAAAGATGACGGAAGATGTCCCATAAATAGAGTTATTTGATGCTTAATATGGAAGGAAATTTCCCATCCTTGCTTTAGGTACTGTAAAACTAAATTAAGCTTTTATTTATTTTATTTACTTAATATTGCACTTATATTGTTTATATATATAATGATTTTCATTGGTTTTGAGATATGAACATGTGCATAGAGTACAGTCATAAAGTTTAAATAAGTAATCATCTGTGGTCCAGGAGTAAATTAATACATTTTACATAAATTCCCATCAAGAAAATTTATTCAGTTTGTGAATATTTTAAATGATGAAAAATCTTCATGAATAAATTTAATTTGTGAATAAGGTTTAACCATATTCATAAATTTTACAATGCACAAATAATGTACTACAGACATAAACAACAAATGCAAATTTATGCTAATTAAAAAAAAACAGCATTAACATTTTTCAATACTGAATCCTTTTTCACAAAACTGCACCACATTGCAGTAAGTGATCTTTATTCAATTTTTGATGATTTGAACATATTTTTTGTACATTACTTCATAAGGTATTTTCTTCCTCCTTTTCACATGCCTTCATGGTGTAACTGCATACTCGATGCGCATCGAGAGATCCAGGGTTTGAGCCCTGGCAAGGTGATTGCACATTTTTTATGTCTCTTACTTCAAAGAAACCTAGAGATTCTATAAATGGTGCCTGAGCTAAAAAAGATGATGGACAAAAATTCATCACCACCAGGATTTCTCAACTGAATCCACTAATGCCCAGTTGCCCTTTAAAAGAAAAGTATAGTCAAAAGTTGTTAATCCGGACTCGTCGGGACTTCGGCGATTCCGGATTATAGATCATCAGTTTAAATCTGGTAGGATGGCATGCAGAAATTATGAAATTTAAAATATTAAACCGTAATTTATGAAATAAAGAACAATTATGATCTAAAGGGTATCAAAATTAACAAAAAAAAACTTAATATTTATTAGTTTACTTTATTAAACATTTCTTTCAATGTAAGTTGTTTAAGTTGCTTCGTTTTTTATGTGATAATACTTTCTCTTTAATTCTATAAACAGACATAATTTATTGTTCAGTTACAACAAAGTTCCGCTGTTCAAGTTCTATAATTGCTGTGTCAAGAATACCGACTAATTTGTCAATCGAAATTTTTTCGTTTTCAATAACCTCACTTTCTTCGCTATCGGAAGCGAATTATAATGATGAGGAATTTGATTTAAATCATATCAAAGTCGGAGTACATTGAGATTAAATACTACATTTAGTAAGGAATTATAAGCCAAATAAAATAAAAACATCTGCCCTGAAGATAAGGATAATGCTGACAGATCACCTTCCAGTTCATTGCACGCCGCGACTCCCCCCCCCACACACATACACACGCAGAGCAGCGTGAAATTGATAAACAGATTTCGGAATGGTTAGATAAACAAAGGATATGCCTTTATCCATTTTTTGCAGCAATTCCACTTTTTGTTTAATGGACTTCAAAACATACTTTCGCTTTGTAGATCCTTTACATATTAGTAAATATATATCAGAAATTCTATTTGACATAATCGAAAGTTCAAGCTTACTTTTATAAAATTGCTCTAACAGTCTGCAAAAAATAAAAAGCCGGATCCAATTCGAAGATTAAGGAACAATGCAATCTGCAACATTAACTGAATTAGATAATTTTAGTTTAGCTTATACCGTCCGTTATACATTAAACGTGCATTCGTAAACGTATTTTGCGCACGCACACACGCATATTCGCAGCCGTAAAGGTCTTATGCGCATGCATTAACACGACGCATGTGCAGAAAGTTTGTAGCTTTGAGGTCTGGATTATGGGTGTCCGAATTAACAACTTTTGACTGTATATAAAGTACCAGAAGTGGGAGCAGGCCAACCCACCTAACCAATCAAGCTGGTCTTATGGTCATAACAGGCCACGCAGAGGTATATAAAATATTTTTTCTGTCTTTCCTGAATGCCTTCACAGTGTAATTGGAAGCATACTTGGCGCATATTGAGAGGTCCAGGGTTCGAATTGCGACGAGGGCATTGCACATTTTTCACGCCTCCTATTTAAAAATAAACCTGATTACTCTACAACTTAAAAGACAAAATTCCGTCCACAAACCTGATAATATAGAGATAACTTTATATATCATTTAGAAAAATTTTAACAACTTAAAAGATTTTCTGTGGTTTTAAATTAAGGCACAGTTAGCTATATTTCACTAATAAGGGCTAGTCGACTATATTTTCCTAATAATCCCTTTGGAAGCTTTATGAAACAACGATATATTGAAGCGAACTCAATAGCATTTACAAAGGAGCATTTTATAGCTTTATAAAGGTATTTTAACCACCTAGAAGTGTGCATTCTTGAACTAATAAATGAAAAATATTGGAAATTTTATTTTCATTTGTAATCAAAGCCAAAAACAAAGTTCAGTTGATAATCGCATCATTCAAACATAAAAAAATGCTAGAAAATATAACATATGTTTTTATGTTTTCATATTCTTAGATATATTTTTTATAATGACTTCAGGATTAAATAAATTTTGTCACAATCGTAATGATTTTTGTCTTAAATATATTTGATTTAATATGCATCATTCATTTTATAAATAATAATTTTTTTGTTTAATTTTAACAGAATAAAATTACTTTATTTTAGGATAAGATAAAATACTTTATTTTAGGACTTAATAAAAAAAATCAATGTTTTGTTTTATTGTATTTATTTCAAATAAACAGAAGTAGAAATACATTGAATTTTTACATGGACAAAAATAATTTTATAATTAAATTTTTTCAAAAAAGTATCTTTTGTATTTTATCTAATGAAAACAAAACTACTTCATTTTATTTAACTGCATGATAAGATACACTGAACTCACATATACAGAGTGTACCGTAAATGTTCCGACAAAGTTCTAGGAGAGGTAGGGCACATCGTAAAAATTAAGAATTGCATAGGAACCCATGCCCAGAAATATCAGGGGTAAGTAAGTGGTAGCAGAGGTAGAAGATGGGGAAAGAAGTGAAAGTGATTAATTTGAAACATTTATGGGGCATGAATACAAATGGTGTGCGACAGCTTGAATGTGACAACAGACGCTTGAAGTTTGCACCATCAGACGCCAAACATGCTTGACACCAATAGACCACTTATTGTCAGACATGTTTAAACACACCGGAAGTTTCTTTGATTGTAGCAGCTGCGCAGGTGAGTCTTGCCATGAGATCCATTTCAGACACAATAGAATCGTGATACACGACACTTTTGATTGCTTCCCACAAAAAGATATCAAGGCTTGATAAATCCAGTGAGCATGGGGGCCAGGGAACCCACCTAATCCATTGATGCAGGAATGATCTGCTCAAATGGCTAAATATCCAGTCCAAAATGAGCAGGGGTCCTATCACGTTGAAATGACATGGTGCACCTCACATTTGATGGAACATCGTCAAGATCAAATAACTCACGCCGTTCAAATGATCTGTCAGTGTCAGGCATGTTTGCCATCTGATGGTGTAAACTTCAAGCATCTGTTGTAACATTCAAGCTGTTGTACTCTATTTGTATTCATGTCCAATAAATGATCCAAATTAATCACTCTTGCTTCTTTTCCGATCTTCTACCTCTGCTACCACTTACCCTAACATTTCTGGGTATGGTTCCTATGCAATTATTAATCCTCATGATGTGCCCTACCTCCCCTAGAAGTTTGTTGCAACATTTATGGTACACCCTGTATATGTAAGATTTAAAAAAAATATGTAAAGCAAACTTTCGATTTTAATTTACAACAGTCCCTTAACACTCTATTTTAATTTGGATATTTACCCTTTCTGTCCTAAAAATAGTAACTGTGTTTATAAATCACTCAAAATTGCATCATTTCGAAATTAATCCATGCCATGTGATTTTACATAACACTACTAATTCAGGTGGTACTTACATAAATGCTTTAACC